CAGGAGTTACCTCTAAATGATCAGATTCATGGACGGGGGGCGGTTCCTGTTTTATTTTATATGCTGTTTACATTTGTCTTTATACTACAAATATGATCTGTTTTTAACTTTTTTTTTTTTTTTTAGATTTTATTCATTTATTTGAGACAGAGAGAGCACAGGCAGGGGGAGCGGCAGGTAGAGGGAGAGGGAGAAGCAGGATCCCCGCTGAGCAGGGAGCCTGATGTGGGACTCGATCCCAGGACCCGGGATCATGACCTGAGCTGAAAGCAGACGCTTAGCCACTTAACGACTGAGCCACCCAGGCGCCCCTTGACTTTTTTTTTTTTTTAAGATTTATTTCTTTACTTGAGAGAAAGAGACAGCACACGCATGTGGGGGGGGGTAGGAGGGGTAGAGGGAGAGAGAGAGAGTCTTAAGTAGACTCCCCGCTGAGCATAGAGTCGGATTTGGGGCTTGATCTCAAGACCCTGAGATCAGGGCCCTGAGATCACCACCCACATGGAAACCAAGAGTCAGTCGCTTAATTGACGAAGCCACCCAAGAGCCTCTGCTTTTGACACTTTTTTTTTTTAAGATTTTATTTATTTATTTGAGAGAGAGCGAAAGTGAGAGAGATCACAGAGGGAGAGGGAGAAGCAGACTCCCCGCCGAGCAGAGAGCCAGTCCCGGGACCTGATCCCAGGATCCCGGGATCACGACTCGAGCCGAAGGCAGACGCCTAACTGACTCAGCCACCCAGGCACCCCATGCTTTTGACATTTCTAAACAAGAAGGAAGCTGAAAGCATGTGGAAGCCCCACTGATGTCTTGTAAATTAGGACCTAGAGCCCCCTGGCACGCATGTTGGAAGGAAGGGGATCCCAGGAGGAGGCAAGGGCAGGAACAGGAGACGGTTACACAGCTTCTGGAACGTCCGAGCTGCACCTTCGTGGTTTTCTCAGAGGGAAAGCAGAACTTCAGACCTAGGGCCCTTTTACCTCTGATCCCAGGCACAGCCAGGAGCGTGTCCTGGGACAGAAATTGTCTAGGTATTTCCTAGGTGAAAATGTTACACCCGCTGAATGTAGGGTCCAAAAGGCAAAAGGTACAGCAAGTATCCTGCAGAAAAGCCTCCCTTCCCCCTCAGCCTTCCTCCCTGAAGCAACCAGACACCTCTCACTCATCTAAATAGCTGCACATTATACACACGGCTCTCTCATGTGTTCTTAGTCTTGGACACCAGTCCTTAAGTGTATACAAAGCGTATACACCTCCTTCACCGTAGAGCCTCACAGGACTCTGTGATGGGGTCCCCGTCGTGCGGGAGGCCATGCTGTACTAATCAACCCCAATTAGCGGACACTTAGACTGCTTCTGCACTTTTTTAAAAGAAGTCTCCACGCCCAACATGGGGCCAGAACCCGCGACCCCGAGATCAAGATACCAGATGAGTTTGTGCCAGTCTAACAAAAAAGCTCCCATTTCCAGACGTCTTGAGTGTGAGATCGCGGCTGAGGCTCTGAGGCTTTGTGGAGTTCCGTGCAGAATACTGCAGTGAGTAACTTTGGACACATGGAGTTTTGCAAGTCTACGCGGCCATGATAGGATACGTTTCTAGAAGTGGAGATGCTAGGTCATAGGCTACATTCATTTATAATTTCCATAGATGTTGCTAGAATAATGACCATTGTTTCTCTTTGCCTGTGAGCTGCTTAGCTTTATGATTTTCCGAACACTCACTTGTGTCTGTTAACTTCAGGGCCATGAAAATTCTTCCTTCCTCCCTCCCTCTCAGCCGGCAGCAAGCCAGGGGACTCAGTCTCTGGCCCTTGGAGAGACAGCTGGGGAGCTGAGAGCTTGCAGGCTTTGCCGTCAGAGACAGAGGGCAGCCCTCTTCATCCGGTGTGACCCTGTATCTGTCTTGTCCTCAGCTTCTGTTTCCATCTTTGTAGAGACAACCTGCCTCCATGACAGTCCCTCCCAACTTGCCCACCAACCAGCACTCTTCCCCGCTGCCCACCCCCAGCCCCAGGACCTGGGCTTTGCCCTCTTCCCCAAAGGAAGAAGAGTCCAGGCCAACAGAACGAAAGGTCCACAGGCTTTTTAATGGTGTGATGGCTACTTCCCTTCCAAGACCCGATCTAATCATGACAGCGGCTTCCAGGGTGTCGGGGTGGGGGTGGGCAGGTGCAGGGTATGGTCAGAGGCCATGCAGTGACTGGGAAGAGGTGGGGGAGGGTGTTACATTCTGTTTGGCGTGTAAACATTCTTCAGTGGCTTCCCTGGGGGAGGGGGAGGGCATCTCCCTGCCCCCCACTCCATGCCTGCCAGGGCTGATCCCCGGAGCTGAGAAGACTGAGCCAGGCCCCAGTGAGGGGCTGGGAAAGGGGGAGCCCACGTGCCTGGGGCACGACCCTTCTCCTGCACCCGCTTCGTGCACAGTGTGGCTTGGGAGGGGAGGCATGTTCTGGGGGTGAGCAGACGTGCCTCTGAGCCAATGACACAGGCTGTGGCGATGAGGAAGTTATAGAGGGGTGAGGTGGTGGTGGACCCACGTGGTGGTGTGACACTCTTTTACAGGGAACGGGTTCAGGACCAGGAGGCCTTGGTGGAAGGGGTGGGTGCTCGAGGGGGAAGAGGCTGCAGCTGGGGGTGGGGACACTGGGAGGTGTGGTTTCCTCTGCCCTGGATCCTTCCTGGGGAGAGGAGCAGAGTCAGTCCCCTGGTCCCCTCCCACACTCGTCCCTTCCCTTCCTCCCCCACCTCGGTGACATTCAATGACGCAGAGGCCTGAGGTCAGATGGGAGCCCTAGGGAGGTCTGGAATCCCAAGAGCAGACAGGGTTTTGCGTCTCTGCCCAGCTCCAGTGCTGTATGAAGCTGGGAGTGGGATAGGCCTGGGGATCTCTCAGGCGGCCCCCTTTTCCTCCCAACACCAAACGAGGGTGTTGTTGGTCCTGGGGCAGGGGTGAAGCTGGGGGCCCTACATTCACGGTTCGGTTGGTGGCAAGGAGCAGGCCCAGGACCTGGGCACCGGGGGTCATGCCCTGGTCCCCACCTGGCAGGAGCTGATTGTCATTCGGAGAAGCTCTAGGTGGGAGGGAGTGGCCCCTCTTCCACCCCCTCTGCTGGACCCAGAGGGCAGTAGAGGCCTTGGGAGGGTCTCGGGTTGACAAAGAGGGCTCTGTCCGGAGAGGTTTCCTGAGTGTTCTGGGAGCTTCTGCGTCAGCAGGAGATGGACCTCGAAGGCCGTCCACCCTGGAGTCCTCCCGTGAGCTGGATTGCAGAGGAGCCACCACCTCGGTGTGGAAACAGCTGCCCAAGCCTGCTGACTCTCCAAGAGGGGCTTCAGCTGGCCCCGCCAGGCTGCTTCCAGAGCCAACTTCCTCACCGGCGTCCTTCTAAGCGGTGGGGGCTGGATGTCTGCCAGACCACTGGGGCATGTCGGGGCCTTTCCTCCTCTTCCTCTGGTTGCCTTGCCTTGCTCTCTGGGGACCAGAGAACAGAGGGGCCAGGCCAGGGGACAGAGGCTGAGGGTGCTGAGGATGGAGGAGGCCTGCAGGGCACCTGTCCCAGATAGACAGAGTCGGCTGTCCCTTCCGCAGCCAGTGTGCCGCTTGGCCCAGAGGCAGTTGAGGCTCATGATGAGGTGGGATGAGCCATGCAGGAGCCAGACCCAGGAGGAAGCCCCATTTCCATTCATGGAGCAGCACAGCCCTCACCCTCTGCAGGGACAACTCAGCTGCATGGGTTGGGGTTAGTACAAGAGGGGACAGGCTGAAGGCTTAGCTGGGGGAGAAGGGGACTTGGGCCGGACCCATCACACAAGCACACAATCTGGAAGTTAGAAGGGCCTTTCTGCCTTGAGTCCAGGGGCCAGCTCTCTGTCTGCCTGTTTCTGCTCTCTCTGCCCACTGGGGGGGATAACGGTCTGATCCAGCCCCCTCCCCACCCCCAGGAGGACAGAAAAGGTGACCCGGCCTGAACTGAGTCCCTGAATCTCTAAACAGCCAGTGCAGAGAAGATGAAAACCAGCCATTCTCCACCTCCACTGAACTCAGGAGAGAGGGAAGTCGGCTGAAACTGCAGCAGGCAGGATTGAGGTTAGATGGCAAGAAGGAATTCCTGATGGTGAGGGGTCCTGAGCACTAGATCAGGAGGCCAAGGGAGGGGGTGAAACCTTTTTTAAAGCCCCCCTCCAACTTCCCATTGGGAAACACGTGCCCAGGAAGGCAGCCCACACACACTCTATGGTTCCCACTGAGGACCCACCCAAATTTGGGGGGAGGAGGACTTTGCACCCTAGGGGTGCAGGACAGCAGCCCCCCAATCACCTGCCCACTGCTTCCGACAGGGGTGTCCAGGATGGAGCTGACTTTGGGGCTGGTCAGACCTGCCCCCTCACACCTGAGTAGACCAATGGCCCCTAGGTCCCAGCTCCCCAACCCCAGCCTGGCAGCTGAGAAGAGGCTTTTTGGACCACCACAGCTCCCAGGAGATTGTGGGGTTGGCCCCTGGAGGGGGGGGGCAGTGGGGAGGGTAGGCTGGAGCTTCCACTTCCGGAATTTGAGGCTGCCTTTCTGAAAACGGGAGTGGGTGGGCTTGGGCTGGGAGAAGGCCAGGAGGAGGGAAAGGCGCCGCAGGAGGTGTAAGCAGAGGTCCCTGGGGGGAGCACGGAGAGCAGCAGCGGCCTGGCGGGTGGGGGCGGGGGACGTCCCCATGAGTGGAGTCCTCGGTGAAAAAGTGGCTGAGCCTTCCCCGGGGCGGAGGGTGAGCCTGCCCCACCCGAAGGGCGGCAGGGGGAGGGCAGGGGTCACGGAGAGGGGGCGGAGGACCGGGAGGCGGGCCCTCCCCCCGCAGCGCGGCGGCCCCCTCGGGGCCGGGCCGGCGCGCGTCCTCGCGGGTGCAGGCGGGAAGCTGGGGCCGCGGGTGGCGCGCGTCAGGCGCGTAAGGCTGTGCTGGGAGCTGTTTCAGTGTGGCCGGCTGCGGGTGGGGGGCCGGGGTGAGGGTGGGGGGCCGCGGACAGCCGCGCGCGTCATTATCTGGCCCCGGCCCGGCCCTCCGCGACCCCCGCCCGGCCTTTGGTTGCTGCGCGCTGAGTCTGGAGTTTCCCTCTGGGTCCTTTCTTGGGGCCCCCCGGGGAGGGGGTGCCATCAGGCTGGGCCCGCGCCTGCGGGGCGCCCCGGGGCGGGGGCCCCGCGGGCCGGGGGGGGGGGGGGGGGGGGAAAAGGGGGCCCCCCGGGGAGGGGGTGCCATCAGGCTGGGCCCGCGCCTGCGGGGCGCCCCGGGGCGGGGGCCCCGCGGGCCGGGCCTGGTGCGAGGGCGAGGAGCTCTCCTTGCGGGACAGGGACTGGCTCCGGGGGGACGCGTTGGGGTGGCGCGGCGCGGCGGAGGCGGAGGGGCCTGGACTGCGCGGGGCGGGGGGCCTGGCGCCGGCTGGGGCTCTCCCGGGCCCCGGGCCCCGGCCGGGGGGCTGTTTGGGGCGGAGGTCAGCAGCCACGGCCGACCCTGGAGGCTTCTGCAGCTGGAGCCTGCGGGACGGAGGCGGGGGGCGGGCGGAAGGCAAGAGAAAAGAGGAGGGCAAAGAAACAAAAAAGGAGAGACAGTTTCAGAATCGCTGAGCACTGAGCCCTGGAGCCCTGCGTCTTCGGAGCCGGGTGAGGCTGTGGAGACCAGGGCACAGGTGGATAAACTAGGGCTGGTGCTCCATCCTCCAGGGCAGGACCTCTAGGGGCCACACACTCCAGGGCTGCTACCTGAGAGCCTGCTGCAGGCTTTCTTGGACCTGTTTCATCTTTAAAATTCTCATGGAGGGGCGCCTGGGTGGCTGAGTTGGTTAAGCAACTGCCTTCGGCTCAGGTCATGATCCTGGAGTCCCGGGATCGAGTCCCGCATCGGGCTCCCAGCTCGGCAGGGAGTCTGCTTCTCCCTCTGACCCTCTCATGCTCTATCTCATTC